TTAATTCTAAAAGCTAAAAGAATAGTTTGACTTCCTATTGTATTAATTTGCTTTAAATCATTTAACAACTCACGGTCATGTTCCATAAATTGATAAAATCTAATTTCTAATTTAAGACCGAATGCATATCCCTTAGATAGTCTTCTAACACGTTGCTCTAAAATGTTCCTTTATCCACCGACTTCCTATATAATTAAGAAGTTTTCGCCAGAAGTTCTATCTTTTGACATTTCAAAGTTCCGACATTTTATCTTCCGGTGTTAAAAATAAAACAGGTGAAACATTTAGTACCCGCAGCTATTGTTCACGTCACCTGTGCAATGTGATTAATTACTGCATGAACTCTACGTGAATGAATCTAGAAAATTGAGAGCCAGTTCAGAAAATTTCAAAGATGCCAACGATCATAGATTTTTTGAGTGGGATGAGTCGTAAGAGACTTATTTGTTTTCTAAGTTCAGGTGTACTGTCAGAACGTTAATTGATCCTTTTTGTGGGGTCTTTTTGTTCTGTGTTCTGTAGGTGTACATAGGTGACATGATCATTTTAGGAAGAAATTCACACCTATATTAATACCCACATATTCATGATAATCGTGAATGACTTTGAAGAATTTTCATTAATCGACAGATTCATATTACACCTTATATGAATGTGTTTATAATTACCATGATATTGTGTCAGGATGATAAGCCTATCTTCTCTGTCATGTAATAAAAATGTGCTTCAGGATCTTTAATTCATTGCCATGGTAATAGATATTACACCAAAAATCTGCCGAATATGTCTTGTGTGTCAACAATGTCTATGTGTTCACAGTATAAGTTTAAAATTGATCAGAACATTACTTTTGTTTAGTTATTGTAATTGGTTGAAAAAGTGATATTACAGTTACAGATATTGAAAGTCACAGAAAATCAAAGACAGCACCACCCTCCTAATGGCCACCGTACCAATAAAAATATATATAAAAAAAGTCTTTGTATGAGAAGACTACTCTCAAGAAATCTCAATGGCTATCACCCAATTACTAAACTTGCTTCCATGAATAATCCAATTTTGGTAGTGGGAGTTCAATTCTTTGATGACTCTAATTATAAAATAACCAATACACCTACAAGACGACATGTTATTAGAACATAGCACAGAGCATGATTACTATCTCATTGTATAAGGTGGATATAATCGTGGATGAAAGAAAAATAACAATCTTCGCAGACAAAGGAGTAATCAACTCATTAAGGTTGACATTTCATGTTGTTAGGGTCGGTGTATTATATGTGAGTGGGTGGGTGTATAGAGGTAACCCCAAGGGATGATATGTCAACTGGAAGCTGTAAATTGTGTTCTGTATCAATCTACTAAGCTGACCTCGAAACTGAGTTATAATTACAATGTACTTGGTGTTTCTGTAGAAATATAATTTATAGGTATTGTTTAGTAGGGATATTTCTCACTGTCAAGTCTTTTGGGCGAGTATATGATGATATAGATGTTAGAAACAATGAGAAGGGTGGTCCACCTGGAGAGGAAAAGTTGGGAGATGACCTTAAGTGGAATATTACCAGAGAAGAATAACAAAGGGAGAATTGCTAGGAAGGGTGGCCAGGGGAGGATAACAAAGTGAGGATGACACATGGAGGATTCCCAGGGAGGGGCCATTAACACAAACTCCGTAAAGTTAAGAATTCGTAAAATCCATTGTTCTCTAACTGAGACATCATTATATCCATGGTTACAACAATTGACGATTTTGTGATTTTACAAAGTTTCTGTTAATGACCCCCAGGGAGAGAATGGAAGGATGACAAATTGAGAGTGACACAAACAGGATTGCAAGGGAGGCAGAGAAGGGAAGGATGTCAAAAGGAGGATCACATGTGGAAGATTACCAAAGGAGGACAACTTGTAGAGGATGACAAAAGGAGGATGACCAGGGGAGGACAACCACTGCTTACTATTAATGTCATACTGAACGTTTAGAGATTCCTATTCCCAAGTGGATGACACATATTGAAATACTTCTATTCTGAGTTCTAATAGATGCTCATTTAAAATTATCTACCTCCAGACTACATAGTTTTCCAAGAATCATTTCAACTGGGAATAATGATATAACGTCAACAATTCTTAATCAGGAAAATTGTGACTACACTCCTCAGATAGGACTTTTCATATTCAATGTGGTTGTGTCAAATTTCAAATTTGGCCATCGGGATAACACCTTCATGTAAAGGATGTTTGATACAATTCTCAAAATATCAAAAATAGAATAGTATTCCTTTATTCTCGAGCCATACCATTGATACACTGTAACCTTTTCTAAAATGAGTACTTTTTTCTCTATCCAACACTTCAGCCTTCACAAAAGAAGAAGTCTTGAGGGACAGACTTAGATACGTGGGTCATTGACTTGAATTTGACACCATACTCCTTGCTGGAAGTTGTGTGGTTGAATAAAGTGGAGGCAGGGCAGAGGCGGAGGGGGGGGAGGGTTAAAACCAGGATTTGATCAGCCTTCCACTTTTACAATACCATTTATAATATAAATAGTTTGATCATACATGTTTCTTTGAAAGAGAGCCTCGTATTCACCTAAGGTTCAGAATAACACATTAAAGGGAAAGTCACACCTTAAAGATCACCTTAAAGATCACATTAAAGGAAAAGTAACCTAATACAGGGAAAGTAACACCTTAAAGAAGATCACCTTAAAGGGAAAGTAACATCTTAAAGAAAATCACCTTAAAGGGAAAGAAACACCTTAAAGAAGATAACCTTAAAGGGAAAGTAACATCTTAAAGAAGATCACCTTAAAGGAAAAGTAACTCAATAAAGGGAAAGTAACACCTTAAAGAAGATTGCCTTTTGCCTAAAGGGAAAGTAACATCTTAAAGAAGATCAACTTAAAGGAAAAGTAACTCAATAAAGGGAAAGTAACACCTTAAAGATCGCCTTAAAGGGAAAGTAACATCTTAAAGAAGATCACCTTAAAGGAAATATAATACTTTAAAGGGAAAGTAACACCTTAAAAAGAAAGTAACTATAGTAGCTTAGTTTACAGTAGTTTTGACCAGGATATGATATCCTATGAGAATTGAACCAGCATTTAAGAGAAAATAGATAGATGGTAGCAAGTAATAAAGTGATACCTCAAATATTGCTCGACAGATGTATATGTACTAATTTTAATAAATAAAGATACCCTTATATTCAACTTTTCTCACTCGTATAATATTCATTCATGAGATCAATGTTCCTGGATGTAGACTTTGATATGATCATTCGCAATGAAGCCAATCTAAGAGAAATACACCTGAAAGTTAAGGTTAATATTTAACGAGACCCAACCAAAAAACAACCGATTATCTGCAAGAGATAAATTTTGATTATTTCAAAAAATTAGACAACACTTCATAATTTTTGTAGGATTTAGAATTAATCTGTAAGTTATGGCTTAGATTCACCAATTCCTGGTAATTCCACTCTATAATGACACAAAAACATGATCCTCTCTGTTTTTTCTTAAGTCCATGAGACGGAATACTCCCCCTCTTTCCGATGACTTAACATTAGGAGCTCAAGATATTATTTCCCTTTCCTCCAATTTCCCATCAAATCTTACAAATTGTGCATTTACGGCTCAACATTATCATATTAACAATTCCCAAATGCGATTTGTATTAATTTTTGCACTTGTTGAACAATATAAACATTTCTTCATATAGGTTATTATAAATGTAAAATTTGACAAAATCATTTCATTTGAATGGATGGTTATTCATTGGACACATTTTCTTGAGAGGGCAAATAGCTGAGAAACCTTGAATCTGCTTTAATAAAGCACAATACTGTCAGTATCCAATCTCTCTAATGAAATAATTTCACATATATGCACCTTGAAATAATAAATTATTAGCCTGAGTGAACTTTTTTGAAATAGATATAAAAATAACTACAGTGTATTGAGATATCTAATACAAATATTTTGTTTTTACATAATTTTGGATTCATTTTGTTCAAGATTATATAACAGATGTTGATGCAACCAAAAAGAATAATAAATATACTTACCAGAAACTGGAAGCAACCTGTTGGACCATTGACCTTTGAAACGTCACATCTGATCATTTGGCTTTGTAACATCACAACGGCATCATTTCTAGCAATAGGGTGCTCATCCACAAGTCGGTCCACTTGTCATGTTTCTGGCTTGATAACTTGGATAAATTATTTAACTCTAACAGGCTGCTTTCCCCACCCAGTTTCAAAAAAGCTGTTAGCCCAAACCCACTTTCCAACCACTCCCTAGACAATTCAAAAAGGGATTTCATGTATAAGAAGGGACTTTGGAGCACCAACAAGCCCTAAGAGCATGACATAGAGATAGAGCACATTACTAAGGCGGGAAAAGACCAAGTAGACTGTTAATTGGACAGGAAGTGGACTTTGTAATATATTTTACATGACAGGATGGCTTTCTTCAAAGATATCTCTCATTCACGAACCATCTGAAAAATAATAAAAAAGTCAACAGTTAAATGTGTTTCTAAGTGTATGTATATTACAAGGGACAAAGTTCAAACCACAGTTGTCCATTAAATGTCCATTTTGTCACTACTGGACTATATATAGCAGGTGAACTTTGATGGATGATATCCTAACAAGTTTATAAACCTTCAGTGTAAAAATACCTGTATAACGACATAAATCAGATTTAAGGTAAAATGCAAGCAAAATTATGACGAGTCGTAAAGTTTTGGATTTTTACAATTTCCCTGACAGATTAATAAAAGATTTCATTATAATGATCTAATCCTAATTTTATTTCATTACATTACTGATACATTGCAAATAAAAAAAATGAAATGATATCTCAATATTTTGTAAGGGAAACTGTAGCATGTACTGTAAATCAATTTATTTACAATATTCATCCTGTCAGCATCCATTTTTAAAGGGGCAACTTGTTTTAAATGCAAAGCCCAAATATGGTAAACAGACCATGTACCACACTCACTTTTGAACATGAATCTTATTTTTCAAAATCTGTACATTTATAGAAAAACATACATCACAACTGTCACAGAAAGAATATTTTTATTCATACTTTTAAAGTACAAATGTAATAATTTTGAAAGATGGTTTGACCCTGGGTACACCTAATTTATAGTATGCCATGTGCACAGTTTTTGTGTCAAAGTTCAAAGAGTAACACCGTATGAAATTATGGAAAAAGGCACTTGAAAGTATGGCACATGGAACCATGGCACTTGAAAGTATGGCACACGACACTATGGCACATGGAACCATGGCACTTGAAACTATGGCACACGGAACTATGGTACATGGAACCATGGCACTTGAAACTATGGCACATGGAACCATGGCACATGAGACAACAGCACGTGAAATTGTGGCACTTAAAACTACTGTATATAAAACCATGGCATAAGACTAAGACATGAATGAGGTACTTTTTAAAACACAATATGCACTTGAAAGGTCAAATACCAACTTTTATGAGACTTTTATAATGAACACTTGAAATTTTAAAAATCTCTTCAGCTAAAAAGTTTCATGCAAGACCTGTGCATAAAATGTCACTCATTTATGCTTCTTTGACACCAATTCTCGATAAATATGCTCGAATCAAACTGATTTTCTTGCATTTCTGTACAATTCAAAGTATTGACCACTATACTTTTGTCTTGCAGGTGTTATTGCTGTCAGGTCTTAAATACAGGATAATCAAGAAATTGAATTACCAGTTGTTAGTTTAAATATATCAACAGTAAACTATGTTACTTTAGCTTCTGAATAGAACACAAAAAATGGCTATAAAAATTCATCCATTGACAACATTACTTTGGTTCAAAAGCTGTAAATAAGCACCTTTGAAATACCTCTCGAAGATTTTCATCAGTCTCTTAATCGCTCATTCTATTACAGAGTAAAGGTCAACAAAATTGATTGAAGTATAGAACGCTCCTTTTACTTAAAAATGTCTTTCTGTCAGACGAAATATGATAACCAACATGTATTTTCAATAAAACTTGCAGCACAGTTATTTTTATGAATGAGAACTTATTTTTGTTTGCTTTGAATTGAAATGAATGTGTGAATTCCTTACTTTCCACCAGAAAATTCACATGAAACTCAATGTATTTTCATGAATATAAAAACCCAGAACATGCAATACAGTGACACCTATCTAATCTAAGCACCATAAGAAATGCTGAAGAGTTCCGCATTAACATTTCAAGATTTTTAGCATGGTTATCATGGCAGAATGAATAAATAAAAAAAGTGAAACCAAAAAAGCATTTAAATTGAGAGGTGTTCGGATATACAGGTTTTACTATACTGGTACATTTTAAATAAGTTTAGTAATGGTAAACAATTAATTAACAACAATATGAATTGTACTCTCATCCATCAACTAATTAATTATCTCGTGCACTGGTCATGGGGTCAAGCCAAAACATTTTCTCTGCTTTTGTGTCCGCTTGACTGGATATTTTTTAGATATCTCGTATTTTTCAGTCAGGTTTTCAGTATTTTCTCAGATTATGAGTACTCTCTGATATTTTTAATCCCTATTCAATTCTCTCCTTAATTTCCTACTCAATACCTTACTCAATTCCCTTCTCAATTTCCTACTCAATTTATAACTCAATTCCTTGTTAGTTCCCTACTCTCTCTATCTTCCTGGTTCCCTACATTTCGAAATTTTTCAAAATGACTTTCTTCAACCTTCAAAAAACTGTATTTGGACCCAGTTTTCAAAATTCCTCATATTTAATTAAAGAATCAAGAAAATGCATCTAAAATCTTATAAAAGAACATGCTAAATATTTTCATAATCTTGAATGCAACAACCTTTCATGACGAAGTCCTCCATTTTTATATCTCTCAGAAAATATATAAAAATATCTCCGTAAAAGTGCTCAATTATCAACAGAAATACTACAACTTTTTTAATAGTTTAACCTCCGCGTAATGATAAAACATTTTACATGAATATGCACAATTTTTGATACAAACTCACCTCATTTTCTCATTCATAATTCTCTTCTACTTGTTTTGAATGAACTTTATACTCAGGTTTCATGCATTGCACATTCTTAAAATTGTTGCCTTTGAACCCCATTAAGTTTTTTTTATGGTTTCTATTGAGAAAAACTATTAGCTATTTATAACTAGTGTTTTAAATCACATGTGTATACACGATATAACCACCTCTGAAAAGGACAGTTTTTAAAAGTCATTTGAATGCTCTGATTGTTAATAGTTGGTTTTTAAATGGTACATGGGTTTTTAGAATGGGCTGAATCAAAAGATAAGAAAATTTACATGCATTTTCATATTTTGCAGTGTTTTCCCACACTATTGATTTGAGATTTGAGCAATCCACGAAGAATTAGCTTTTTAAAATGACTCATCACAATCCTTCACTTTACAAAAAATTGAAGTTGGTAGATATTGAGGTCCGTTTCAAGCAAAGTGGAGAACAGACAAGATGTGTCATTAAGTTCAAGTCAACTCAATATATTCAAAAAGTAAAATTAATATTTACCATTAAGTATGTGTCTGATGTCCTTGCAACAGATTTGATGAACCCATAGGTTTGCTCCCAAATAGGCAATTTGCTCCCAGATAGGCGGTTTGCTCCCAGATTGGCGATTTGCTCCCAGATTGGCAATTTTTTCCAGATTGGCAATTTGCTCACAGATTTGCCGTTTGGTCCCAGATTGGCAGTTTGCTCCTCATTGATGGCAGATGGCAGCCTGCTCTCCAGATTGGCAGCTTGCTCTCCAATTGCTATGTTGTTCAAAGATGGACAGGTTGCACACAGGTGACAATGGCAATGTTTCCAGGACTTTATATTTGTCATCTGAAAAACACAAAATAGATGATTTAGACATAATTTTAGATAGATAGATAAATAATTTCCACCAGCATCATCAATCATCAAAAAATAGACACGAGACAAATATTCTAAAAAATTAGTGAAAATTGAATTTCCCAGGAAATTCTGATCTTAACAAAAACCACTTTAAACTTACATTAAAATCATCCCAGGGTTTCAGAGTTTTGTGTTATCTACTCTTGGTGTTGTTATCCTATGTATGAAGATAAAGATAATAACTCACTTTCAATTGGCAAGTGCAGGGAAGATAAGGATACAATTATAATTGAGTAATATTGCCAACTCTACTATAACCCAATGTGAGATAGCGAAGTTAAAGATAGAACAGTATTTGAAAGACTTTGTATGGAAGTTGCTCATTCTGTGCCTTTACTTCATACAATCATATAAGGGGTGGATCTGGGAACCAACAAAGGGGGGGCAAATTTTAGGTCAGAGAAAAAAACCTTGGGCCCCTAAAACTCCAAAGTGGGCCCAAATTTTGAAATTTTGAGGCCCATTTTTGGCCCCGAGGTCCCCCCCAGATTCACCAGTGCATATTGACAATAGTTTGAGAAAATATGCTGATGTTTCATCTGGGTTTTCTCTTATAATGTACTTTTAATACGAAGATGAACTTTATTGTTTCCTATATTCTAATCAGTTTGATTTATACCTTTTTTGATTCAGAGAAAAATAAAGACACAAAAGGGTAAATGGCACACTCTCGCCAAATATTCATAAAATCTAATGTTTTGGTAGTGATTGTATTTAACTACAGTGACCTTCCCATCAAAGAAACAACCACACTTTGACCTTTGACCAAGTTGGTTGCAATTACATTAAGTATGTTGATGTATTGATACCATTTTGGACATTTCTCATTTGGAATAAATGAGAATTTCGCAGAAAGTTGAAAAATCCGACGAGATGACTGGATATAACATGTACAATATACATATTTCAACACATGTAGATTCCGATGCAAACTTGACTTCATTTCATAGGATTTTAAGTTTTGGAATTTTCCTCAAAGGCATGAACATTTCCAGCCAGGCATCTGGAAAATTACATACTCTGCAAAGCACGGTCACAATGAGCAGTTCCACTCCTTTGTGTAATATTATGTGCTTCTGTTTTTAAATTCAATTGTTGAGAGAAAGATTACCCTGCGCGCAGAGTCTAATTATAGAAGACGAAGCTCTCTAGCTTTTGAGAAGCAAAGTCGAATGAATGCAAAGGGTATAGAAAGATGAAACTTACTACAAGATTATGTGTTTTGCTTGGACTTAGATGGAACATGTTTACAATTCAAAGAAATAAAACACATTTGTCTCACAAAATACCCAGAATGTCTAAGAGCAAAGTTCATAGGTATAGGTATACAGCCAATCTTTAACAGCAATGTTTGGTACCATTTTGGCTCATGTGGGCTACAGTAGTGTAAAGTACAGTAGAATATGTTTTAGTTTACTGCTTCTGTCTACAGTACCGAGGGGTATATGTACTATGTACACTGTACGGGACCATACTTGAATGGTACTGTACAGTATCATACTCTTAATATACTGTATGGTACCGTGATTTAAGATTCCAGATTGGGGATGTACTGCATACTCTCTGATCGTAAAGGGTACTAACAAAGAGGATTTAAACATTAAAGATATTTTAGTGTTTTTCTTTGTGTTTTTATTAATTGTAAAGATATCTTTCCCTGCACCTTACTTTACAAACAAATGATAAACATCTCTTGTTTTCTATCTGCTTAATAAATATTGGTGGTCCCATTCAAATTCAGCAACCATAAAGAAACTGTCTATTTTTTAGTAGAATCCACCAGAGGAGGTAACATCCCATGATTCCATGTGATATCATGTGACCTTTACTAACAAATGAGTTTGAATAAATCAAAGAAGGGTTAATAGAAAAAGAAATATTTCAATGGTAAATAATAAGAAAGTTATCTCTTCTTCAAAATTTACTAGGCTGCCCCTTCATAAGTATAGTGATGGTTATAAAGAAATGGGGGAGAGGCATATTTTGTAGACAGAGAATTGAATGGAGCTGAATGCCTCATGAGAGACCTGAATGAGATGCACCTACATTTCTGAATATGATTTGATTAGAAAACTGGTCTTCTAAGAGGCCCAGTGAATATATATGTAAATACTGATGAAAACACAGGATGAAACCTCAGAGTTAGAATTGAACTATTTAAGAATATCAGTATAGTTTGGGCTGGGGGTACAAATGAAGGAAGGTGTACATTTGAGAACAAAAATCTCCATTTATACACAAATCGCTCCACTCATTAACCTCTATGGGACCTCACACATCATTTGGCATAATTCTTGTTTTGACTTTCTCCAAATATATTTCGGGAACAGATCTAAAATAAATTCTGTGGTTAGATGTTATTTGGATGCTGATCAACCACTACTATCATGTACCGCAAACATATACAAATGAAAAGACCACAATTCAACAAATTATCTCCTCAGAAATCACACTCAGTGCATCTCACTAACATGAGGCCTGGTGGGTGAAGGACTACCCTGGCCC